TTTCCTCCCGAGAGGCAATTGCTCTGCATCCCCCCTCGGTGTGTGAATACCACTCATTCACCTGCAGCCAGAGGCCAGGAGGAGAGCAGGAGCCCAACACCCTGGTCCCCACATCACTGACACCTCTTCACCCACAAAACCCTATTATAAATTAACCATTTTATTGAATATCAATAAACTGTATATAATTATATAAAAAGTTTCATCAGTACAAAATTGTGGCACCAAAGAAAAAAAATATATATAAATACCAGTGTACCTTTGAAATGTAAACATCCTCTTTGTAATGATTCCATGAAAACAATGTCCAAAGAAAGATGCATTCAGGAGGCACCTGTCAATACCCATAAATAGGGCTTTTGGCACACACCTGTCGATGGGCAGCCTTGGGACAGGCCACCATTGTATCGCTGACAAGTGCCTGCTATTAGTCACAGTTCTCTTGAAAAGCAGTTGTTAAGAGTCATATTAACAGGTGCTTGAGTGCATAGCTGCTCTGTAAACAGGGCTGGTGTTTGAAATGGCTACCCCGTGCCTTTTACGGACACTGTTAATCTCGCAGGCATTGCAAATTGTCATTGTGCTGGGGAGAAGCAGCTGCTTCACAACTACTGGGATACTATATTATTGCATAGTTACACCTTCTACAGGCGGCGTATATACACTGGGGGCTGGGGGACACGGCACATTTTGTCCTTCATTAAAAAAATATTGGTTCTTAAAAGTTACCGAGTGGTTACAGTAAAAAACATACAAAAAGCAGTCCCGTTCCCCACCCCCAGGCTACATGGTTGCAGTGCTGGGGCCAGGGTGCAGGTCCAGCCCTGCAAGGTGCCCAGTGCTTGGCAAGCGGGGGGGCACCTGATGGGGGCTGCGGCAGGTCGAGCTCAGGGCTGCACCCCCCCGAGCTCCATGCTTTGGCACCCACACTTAGCACCGGAGTCCAATCCTGCACCCTCGGACGCCAGGATGGGAGGAGGATCAGGCCTTCGCATTGCACAGGAGGCACCGAGCGAGGAGTGTGAGGGTCTCGAGGGGCCCGGTGCGCGCTGCGATGGTCACGGAGGAAACTAACTCCTACAGAAACTAGGTACAATATAGGGAATTGTGTGGCGAGAGGCCTGGGGGAGCAGAGTCCTCAGCGAGAGCCCGAGCAGCCCGTCTCCTCGTGCTTGTGGAGCAGAGACATACGGGAGAAAGTCCGGGAGCAGGTTTTGCACTGGTACTTCTTTACATCTGAATGGGTCTGCAGGTGGGCTCGGAGATTAGAGCGGTCAGCAAAGGCCCGGTTGCAGTGTGTACAGGAAAAGGGCTTTTCACCTATGGGACAAAGAGAAACGCTCCCAATTAACCAGTGCATCAACACATGGGGAATATCAAAGAAGGAGCCATTCATTAGCCAAAGTTGGTGAAGAGCACAGTGAAAAGAAGTGCTGGCTGTTATTGTTCTGAGGAAAAGCCTGGCGAGGTATGTACAGCATTCATTTTGGGGAAAGCCGAGGGCTCGGGAATTTCCTACTCCCCAAAAAAAACTTCTGTGAACCACGGAAAACTAATGCTGGAAACATCTGCAAGCAGCAAGGCAGTTGCACATACAAACGAAGACACGATGTTTGTCTCCTGCCTGGAGCCAAGTGAGCCGTTTGCAGAGAGGCAGGAAAGCCAAGCACTATGTGTTAATTATATCATAGCAGGCAGCGGCTGCGAGGCGCCAGCGCCAGGGTGAGTATAGCTATTTCCTCCGCCGAACCCCGCGCTCCCCCTTCTCCTGCCCGGCTCGCATTGAAAAGCCCGGCCAGGGCGAATTCCTCCCAGAAAGACTCTTTTGGAGGAAACAAATGCGTATGCTCAATTTGGAAAGCACAATTAAGTCTTCCCGGCTTCCTTCAGCCATCATCTTTAGTACGTTAAGAGGGTGTGAAATCAGTGCCAAGTCACAATTACACTATCCCGCAGCCCCACAAAGGATGTTCAGGAGATGCATTGTACGGGCAGTGGGGTGGGCTGCAGCTGCGGCACCCGGACCCGCCCCCACTGGTGCGGGGGGTGCCTGCCCCGCACGCCCAGCACCTGCCCACAGGGTTTATGAGATGGTGTGGTGCATCTCGGTATGCTCCGAGCTGAGCTCACCGCTGCTGAGCAGAGCCCCAGGCTGGAGGCCACAGTGGTGGGCAGCCAGGCCTGGAAAGCCTGGCCAGGAGCTCTTGGTGCAGGCACAGAGGGATGCTTTGGGCTTGGCGGTGCACAGGTTGTGCTCCAGCAGTGCCCCCGTCCATAGGACCGAGCCAAAGCTTGCACAGTTGCACCATGGCCCATGTGCTGGCTCATGGGCAGGCACAGCACTAACAGTGGTGGCACATAATTTACAAGCTGAGCCTTGACCCTGTGCTCAGTTCCAGCCAACAGGATATTTAAAGGACATTTTAGAGAGATGTGCCAAGGGGGTTTGGGAAGCCCTTATCTTCCCAGATAACAACTGGCCCACTGATTCGCTGGGGGCTGCGGAGCTGGGAAGCAGGAGGTGATAAGGGAGGGAGGGAGAGGGGCAACATTGCCGGTGTGTGTCCGGATGTGGCCCTGCAGCAGCCAGGGCCGGGAGAAGGCCTTGCCGCACATCTTGCAGACGCAGGGCAGTGTGTGGCTCCGGATGTGCATCTTGAGAGCCCCCAGGCTCACGTACTCCTTCTCGCAGTACTTGCAGCTGAAAGATTTCCTGGCCTGGGCGTCGCAGTGCAATTGCTTGTGCTTGGAGAGCCCGGCAAAGGTGGAGTAAGCCTTGGCACACTGGGCGCAGCGGAAGCGCTCTGCGGCAGCAGGGGCCGAGGCTGGGCTGGG